TTATAGTAGAAAACTAAAGATGAATGTAAATTGTTTGATACACTGAAATAGTGTGATTAATAAATATAAGTACAGTGGTGCCTCGTATAATGCACTTAATCCATTCCAGGTGCACATCCGTTAAGTGAAAAGTCTGTTATACGAAACGCATTTTACCATAGAAATACATGTTAAAACATATAATTTATTCCGCAGCACAAAATAACCATACTGTTCCATAAAAAAAATGAAAATGGAGCAGTCACCAATTATGCCGGGTAGTGAGATGTGAGGAGGTGGAGGAACACTTTCTTTACACATTCATACAGATACAGACTTTTTACATATTGCAGCAGGTCTCTTTTTATTGTTTTTTAATCGGAGTCAGAATCAGGAGAGGCTACCGGAGCTTGCAGGGTCATCTCCTCTTGTTCCATCCTTTGTTTTTTGGCAGCTTGCTTCTTGAAAAACATGTCCAAGGTGGTCTGTTTCTTTTTCTTCTTCAACACCTGTCGGAAATGACGGGCAAGGGTGTCATTGTAGAGATCATTGATCCTGTTGGCCTCAGCTCTGTTTGGATAATGAGTGTTGGTAAACTGAACCTCTCCCCATTTGACAAGGAAGTTTTTGTCAACTTTTACTCCTTCTGATGATTTCTTGCTTTGTTTCAATTGAAATCATCTTTCTGTTTTTTTAGAAGCCATGATTTGCACAACACTTGAATAAATGTAAATACCTTGCACTGAGGTGATGTACGTAATAAACAAGGGAGCAAGCCGAATCCCAACGGGAGCTCTGTACTTTAGATATACTAATAATATATTCTAATAATACTAATATATTATAAAAATAGCAGATTGTCATTGGCAACGGCAAAAGAGTGGAAACATCATTCGCACTTGTTCACAGAAAGACCGTTGTTTGCCTCATGTAATTGCTGAACGGAAAGTCTGTTGTTCGCAGCCAGTCTGTTGCTCGAGTCACGTAATGGCCAAACAGAAAGTCAGTTGTTCGCAGCGTTCGTTATTCAAGGCGTACGTTATACGAGGCACCACTGTATTTAATTGTAGGCCTATTCAAGCTTCTAAATCTTAAGATTAAAAAAGAAAAAATATTAAAACAGGAAAATCAAAATAATCAAGCAAAATATTTTCCAAAAGTTTATTAACAAATCAGACTAAATTAGTGCAAGATTTATTTATACTTGAAACAGATTTATCATTAAATTTAAACAAAGAAAATTAAATAATGAAGTAAAGTAGGTGTACAATTTAAATTATCTAACCTAATAAAAGTTTAATAATACTGTATAAGAATAGTCTACATAAACTTAATTTGATATAGATAGAATATATAGTTATACTGTAGATAGATATATTTAGTTAGATACAGAATAATACTGTACTATATTTTATATTCATACTTTATTTTATGATATAATATTATATTCAAAATAAAAATTTGAAAAATGCTTAATAAATCAATAATTAAAGCCAAACAATTGCTGCATTACATTAGGCTATATTAATGCTACTAATTACTAATTAAATGTGAAATAATTTGGCCTTGAGGTAAGCGTTAGATATTATCTCTCAATACATTTAATAATTATAATTAAATTAATATTTAATACAGTAATACCTCAACTTACGCTACCCTGACTTATGCAAACTCGGAGTTACGCAATTTTCAAATCTCGTTGATTCGTCTTTTGTTTGAGCGCCACGCAACTCTTGATTACTCACTTCCCCACACTATTGTTCAGCTTACATGTTCGGACGTGTCACGTGGAATTGTCACATAGCTACAATTTATTTTGTGTTATTTATTTCTGTGTTTGTTATATCTACGGAGACTCGAGAGACTCTATGTGGTGATTTCTTGTAATCATGAACGAATCAAAAGACGAGATAAGATTAATGAGAACATTTATTAGCTTACATACATCCGATTTGGATTTTACACAAATTGCGAAATTATACCCCAACTTACGCGGTTACTGCTCAGTCCCACCTATCGCGCAAGTTCGGGGTATCACTGTAATTAATTTAGAAGGTTTTTCTAAAAGAAAAGAATTGGCCTGACCTGAGATGTGAACCAACACCTCCCACTTGTCTTGCAGATGTTTACATTTAATTAGTAGCATTAATATAGCCCTTTAATATAGCACATTAAAAAAAAAAAATATATTAAAATAGGAAAAATCAAAATAATCATGCATCTGTTGGTTAGAATATTTATCCAAAAGTAATCTGGCAATCATTTAGCTTTAATCTGAGGCAGGTTTATAGATGTTTATATCTGTAAATCAATAACATAATATAAAATGCTTTTTATTAATTTTGTTTTCTTAAGCATAAAAAGAAAATTAATAATATAATTAATATATCTAAATATATAAAATTGCTTGTCCTGACTGACTCATTCATTCATTCACTGATTCATCATCGCCCAGAGCAAACCGCTTAACCTAANAACAATTACTATGGTTATTGAAATATTGGATGTAAATGGGGTTTGCTTGCAAAACCTCCGCTGACGAAGTCGCGGGTAACAGCTAGTATATATATATACTAAACAATAAGTAATGTATGGCATAATATCAAAATCTAACTGACACTGCAATCATGAATGATATACTAAAAATTATGTATAGGTAGGATGGATATAGATAACTTTGACATAAACATAAATGTTACATACAAATGCTATAACAAAAATGAAAAAGTTCTTAATTAATTATCAGAGAGTAATGCATTTAAATTGTTGATTAAGTATTATTTTCAGATCTTGAGTAGATTGAGCATGAATCTTTTATGTTAAGGCAAAAATTATTTTTGTGCTTATAAGTGTAAAATAATTTAGAAAAAAATCCAAACTAGACCATTGTGGATTCATTCTAACCAAATTCTAGACATTTCAGTTTAAAAATCTCTTCTATTAGGAATTACTCAGAAAGAAAACTGACTACATCTATGTAAGGCTTGCCGACTGTGTGCGATTGTTAGGACAGTCGAGGGGTTGAACAAACGTTTGAAATTAGCACTGAGACCAGCTTACCATCTTTTCCCATTTAATAAAATTTTAAATATAAACTTTTCTAAGTCTCAGCTGACCCAATTTTCAAGGAGAGAGTTCAGTAAAGTTCCAAATTCCAAAGAATGTCTTCCTCATTTTCTTGCTGGTTGTCTGTAGAATCGTTGGCTTTGGGGTACACGGTAACACTTTGCAGAGAATGTTCTTTGTAGTAGGAAAGAATCTTGAAGGATGCAAAACCTCCAGGAGAGCAATAAAAAGACTGCTATGTATCTTGGAGAAAGATGGAAAGACTGCTAGCAGCTTTTCATGGCAAAACAGAAGGTTTAAAGCAGGCCTGGCCAACCCAAATTGTTTCGTGGGCCACTTTGATCACACACATTACAGTGGGCCACAATTTAGGCAAACTGCTTTTATAAAAGTAAAACAAATACAAAATGAATAAGATTTTATTGTTATACCAAGAGTTCATACTTGCACTTGCGCATTATAACAATAACACGTGCAAATTTTCTTTTATTTAATTGTTTTGGTATACACATAACGGGAAACAAAAGTTTTAATAGATATATAATATCACTTAGTGGGCCACACAATTTTATGTGATGGGTCGCATGCAGGCTGCAGGTTGGCCAGGCCTGGTTTAAAGCAAAGAACCTTGTGTTCTTGAAATGCACATTTTTATCAGTTTTTTCCCCAATTCTGCATTGTGATTGTTCTCCCTTTGTCGCTTGGTGACAATTTGAAATCTTTTGGGTTGCAGGAAGGTCAATTTTGCAACTAAACCCAATTCCCCTTCATCTAAAATTCCTTTGACTTTGATATTCTCCTCACAATTCACACCCGTTGTTTTCTGTTTTATTGGAAAGAACTTTTATTGTTTAAGATAGACTTTAAGTCTTGCTTTGTTTAACTCTAAAAGGTGAGAGCTTAACTAACTCTTTTATGTTTCGAATGATTTCATCATTCGAAACACAAAAGTTCGATTTCCGTCTGGGACCACACATCTCTGAAGAATCTTCTTTCATTGTCCCAATCCTCACAATATAGAAATGAACAAAAAATCAGAGAGAATCTCTGACTTTAAAGAAAAACTACAGTTTTTGGAGAATTTCTTTTTTTATTTTTACATATTGTTTTATTGTAACCATAGCAACAGATTTTGAATTTTTCTATTTTGAAATGACTATTACCAGTACTATTTTGAATATGTGGTTCTTAATGTATATTTAATACTAAAAAAAAATAACTTTCATTTGTATTCTTTATAATCCATTAAACCATTTTTTATAAAACTAGTAATTTTTCTTTCTAACAGCAATTAAAAATTTATTGATTTTTCTTTCTATTGTACCATTTATCAGTTTATGTGAAGCAAACTCTCATGTAAAAGTGTGATGACTATATATATATAGATCAAATTAAAATGTACCATATAAAATTATATGTATTTATGTGTGAAATAAAAATAGATTATGTTAATATCATTTTGGTTTTTAAAGCATAAAACTTTTAAAAGTTTATTTGTGCAATCATCAATATAAGTAATAATAATTTCTGTTAAAATTTATTCTCATCAGATTACTGATATTTTAAAATCTAATAGACTTTTGTTTTCAGAGGCATATTATATTGTGAAGGAATGTTTTTATGACTGAAAAGTTTATTCTAGTGACATTGGTACATATGCCTAATTGTAAATCTTGCAAGTGTTTTCACTCAAAGTTAAAGTTTTCATTCTAATATCATTATTATAAGTGCTTTCATTTAAAAAAAATTATCTGTGAATAATGATGAATTTCAGTTGTCCTCTATATTTTCATTATTTATTTGAAAATAATAGATATCCAATAAATATATATTTTGTAAATGAAATTCACATATTATAGAATTGTAGTAGGTGTATATAAATTAATTTATATTATTATATAAGTGTAAATCTAGTGAAATAGTTAATACTGTATATTTATTCTTTTGATTTTTAAAACATATTTCTCTTTAATGAAAATAGTTTAAATTTGGATGATCAAGTAATTCTAATGGGCAGAATTTTTTTAAAGGAAATTGAAAAATGTCAGATTTAAATAATCTAGAGATAAAGAAACAATTATATTACAGTCTGACAGGTAATAAAATTTTATTTATTTCTTGTATTGTAATTCAAAAAAACCCATTGTATCTAATTATGGTGATACTGAATAATTGTTATCAAAAATTTATAAATTACTTTTTAATTTATTGACAGAAGGAGACAAATGAAGAAAATTCAATAAATGATGTCTTCATACAAAGATCATCTTGATTTCAATAATTTTGATGATGAAGAAGATTTGACAGATGATGAAGTATTCACACGAGGAGGAAAATCAATTCCTTTAGAAGAAAATGGAGTTAATAAACCTCTTATGGCTCCGAGACATAGGGGCCGAAATGATAACTTGCAGACTAAAGTACGAAAGGTACCTCCATGCCGTGTTTTGTGGGCTCCTCTTCTTTATGGACTTATTGCCTTGTCAGCAATTATTGGTGGGTGAAATGTGTAAAAACCATAACAATTATTTATAACATTTTATATATAAAAATATTATTAGTACAAAAATTTCTCAAATTGATGACAATGACATTGAAATCTAATTGCAATAAACTTATTCTTGTTCTGATCATCTAAAACCTAACCTAAATAATAATAATTAATTTTTACTCTAAAAGTAATATGACAAAATATATAAAAAGCATCCTGATGAGAATTTATTAACTGCCTTCACTTTTTTTAAAAATAAGATTTTGTGATAAGTCAAATTAAATTAATCCTAATAATTAATCTTATTAAATGTTAACAAGAATATTTACTTATTACCATTATTTTCCAGTTTATTGCCAATTAAATAACTACTTTAAAAAATTATAAAACTATTTCTTATATTTTCAGGAATTATCTGTTTAATAGTATTTCTTATCAACACTTTTATGATACCTTTGAGCTTACAAAGTAAATTAGTACTGAATCATAAAAGAAAAATGACAGTCCCTTGTACCAATATTACAATTGAAGATGTATGGGTCCACACATTTCCAATGTTAACAACAGAAACAGCAGTGCGATTAAATGATGTTAATCTGGACGATGTTCCTGATGTTATCATGGGTTTTGGAACAGGTAGAAATACTTTTTTCATACAATAATAACAATAGTAATAATAATAATATTATTCTTCTGCAGCTTATTCCAATTTATGTGGGGGGCTGCTGCATTTTGGGGCTGCTGCAATTAGGGGCTGCTGCATTTGATGACTTCTCTTCATTGTATACAATTTGTAGTCATATCCTTCCTCAATCCCTATTCCTTCATGTCCACTTTGACTATATCCATCCACCTCATCCTTAATCTTCCTCTACTTCATTTTTCTCCAATCTCCATATTCATAACTTTCTTTCCAAGGTAACTTTCATCCCTTCTCAGCCTTCCTTCTTGGGTTTTGTAGGCAGTATCAGTTAACTATGCTTTGAATGTATTTCACATTCATGGTTATTGTATACATTATGTCTATCCAAAATACATCCAATATACAGTGGAACCTCAGTATACGACCTTAATCCGTTCCAAGTGTTTGGACTTATACCGAATAGGACGTACACCAAACCAACCTTTCCCATAAGAAGTAACGTAAAAACGATTAATCTGTTCTCATGTAAAAAGATGTCTGGCTTTAAACACCTCGCTTTCCTGGCTAGTTCCTGCTTGGTTTTTCATGAGATTAGCACGTATCTTTGTAACTTTCTCGCAAATAATTGCTTCTGATACACTGTCGCCAGCACACTGTTTTTCAGTTATCCAAAGCAAAAGCAATTTCTCAACGTGATCTAAAGTCTTCGATCTCTGTTTAGAAATTGATTTAACTTCTTTCGCAATGTTAGCAGATTTAATAATGTCTTTATTTTTCACGATTGTCGATATCGTTGTTCTCAGAATACGGTATGCAACAGTTAAATCTCGAACATACATACCACCTTCATATTTCTCAACAATCTTTTTTTCAGTTCCATTGTGATTCTAGTCAATTTTTTAGTTTTCTGTTGCTTTTCATTTACCTTTTTCAATTCATGATTAATAAAAATAATAAAATTTTACTTACAAATTAAAATCAGAAGAAATTTAACAAAGTTATAAACAGTGGCACCGCGAACGTCTAGTCTGGTCTAATACACAGATAGTGCTACTTGTTCATAGATGGCGCGTATAATTGAATTAAGTCACATATTGAACAAAAGTCATATATTGAGCAAAATTTGTTTCGTCCAAACAGGACATATTCCGAATTGGACGTATTCTAAAGCAGACATATACTGAGGTACCACTGTATTACATTTCTAGAAAACACTATGCAACACTAGAGAACACCTAAGACTTCACAACCCATAAATCAAAACAAATGAAATACATATGATGTAAGGTGAGGCATTTCCAGGGAAATTCCTTAAGTCCATTCTGGTTTTGTCTTGCCATAATTAAACTCATTATTCAATAGGTTAAACAACATAAGATCAACAACAACCACAACAGACCAACACACTACATAGCTTAGTATCTTTTCTTATGTATATCCATCAACACAAACACAATTAAATCGTCTTTCAGAAATTATACTATTATTTCCACTGACATTCAAATAAAGTTTAGCCTAAACAAATGCAAAACTCTTCACATTGAAAGTATTCCTGAAGGATGAGGATTTGAACTTGGAAATGGAGATATCATTGAATCCATGGATACGACTGAGGTCTACAGATACTTAGGATTCCATGAGACCAAACTCTTAGACTGAAAATTAAACTGAAACTAATAAAAGAATATAACAGAAGATTAAACTCAATACTACAAATAGTTTGTGATTTCTGCGAGTTATATAAAGGCACACAATACAGATTAGATAACATACAACACAATTATTTATTAACTCGCTAGTTCAAATACAGGATTTCATAGGATACCAACAATTCTAGTTGTCCCTTTTTCCGAACCGAACATCTGATTAACTAAAATTATCTTACTTAATACTAGGTTCCTATTTCTACTTAAACTAATTGAATATAGCCGGCTTATTCGAAGATTTGGAAGGTGAAAGAAAAGAATAAGGAAAGAGGGTACCCAAAACTTGATGATGCAGGTTGAAATGTGTGGGTTCGTGGATGAGGCTTCTCATCGGTCAAGGGGGGGCTGATTCACTCAATTCTTGTTTCACACTGAGATATTAATCCAAAAGGGGCGATCCGTCTGGTTCCTCTCAGTCCAGTTCCTTTTTCTTTCTCTTGTTCTAAGGTCCTCTTTTTCTTCTCTCAC